GGAATTCTACGCCAAAAATACTGTGGACGCAAGTAAATATTGTGATTTTTGGCAATTTTTCTAAGGGGTCCTAGGGAACCATAGGGGACCTAGGTGCTCGGGGGTTGCATTTTTGTCGATGGCGGTTCATTCCCTCTCCAAAAAGGTGGGTTAGAGGTGCCACGCCCACTTACCTTTCGCCCACCGCCCCTTTAACGAACGGCCATAAAGGAAAGCCAACCCAAATTTTCCCTATTTTCCGCAAGCCCATATAAAACTAACCGCAAAACTGACGAAAAGTGTTAGTCAGTTTTCCCACTAATTTGACCGATAGTTATAGGCCAGACTTCTTGCAGAGTAGGTTCTGGTACTCGATTCCAAAAAATATCGTTTTAAAACTGTCGAGTAATAAAAATCGTAATCGAACGCCAAAAGTATCAATATGGTATCGTATTATTATCGAAATTCGCGTCCCTACGACCAAAGCCACGTAGTTGATTATATACATTTATGGATTCATATTAGGCTATTAGTCTACATTATGGCTTCAAATAATTGTAATCCAAGTGAAATCGGTTTGTCAGGGCAAAGGAGAAAAACGCATATGAAAGTAAATATTTTATTGTAGTTACGTATTAGTAAATTTAAATACTAAATGCACTTTCACTGTTTCTTTAATTTCAGTTGGCTGCCAATGGCACCTCCCACTTCTATTCACCAATACAGGCGGGATTTCCAGGTGGCGGACCGGCCCATTTCCACGCATTATCAAGTGGCCACGTCCAAACGCAGCAACCTCCTCAACAGCCACAAGCTCTGACAGCTCAACAGCAGCAAACGTCGACACATCAGCAACCCTTATCGCATTCACCTTCACCTCCCAATAATTACCATAAAGATGAACGCAGCCAGCGTCAACACACAAAGTTATTGCGAAAACTTGAAAAACAACGGGAACTAAGTAACTACATTATTTATTGGGAATTTACATGATTCAACTTTCACAGGCGATTAGTTGAACCAAAAGTTGGACGAAAGTTGGCAGCCGACCAACTTCATTGAAAGCGATTAGTTGAAAGGTCGTTTCTAGGCGATTGCTGCCTTCAACTAAAAATCGCCTGAAAAATCGCCTCATGTAAATTCCCTCTGAGATTTTCTTGTTTTCTGTTAGGCCAAAATTATGTACATACATACATATGTATACATATGTTTCGTTAGTAACTTATTAATAAGGTATATTAAATTTCAAATAATTCTTAATTAATTCACATATTATCTGGAATTTAAGACCCTGCGATGTCAACACCTACCAATTCACCGTCCCCTCGGCGTACTGATATAAACACACAAAAAAGTCATTCACCTGTATTGACCAATAATAGTAGCAACACAAACGGACCTAACCATAGCCAAAACAACACTGTACTGAATGCAGGAATGTTGATAGTACCTTCATCGCTTGCAAGTTCTTCTGTAACAAGCAACAGCACCACCGGATTAAACCTCAGTCTTCAAAGTAGGAACCAAAATCATGTTCAGCAACAACAGACTTCGTCTCAGCAGTCATCAAGCAACCACAACTTGAATAGCCGACGAATCTCTCAACGAAATGGCAGCGTACCCTCAAATGCACACCAGATAAATAGCACTAATGGATGCATTGCATCTTCAGTTGAAACTTCGGAAGACAGCATGGAAGGCATGTTAAATGCTGTTGATGATGAAGAGGACTACCAGTCTCTGCTAATAGAGCAGCTTTCTTCAATAAAGAAACCAAAAGTAAGTAAAAGTGTTTACTGTCCGATTGTTTTGTGCTTTTCTAAGTTTGTCTTTATCTCTTCAGGTAATTAATTTAACTTCGAGATCTGCAAAAATCGTCTGGGAAGCCGCAGCAATCACAGATCCCCAGATAAACACCCGTGAACTGCGTTATAATGTGCTGTTTAGTGATCGCGTAAAAGACTGCAAGTACAAGAGTCTTTATAAAGGCGAATCATATGATTGCATTGTGCAGGATTTGCAACCTGGCCAAGTATATATAGTGCGTCTTCAGGTGAGTAAAACCAAATTAATATATATATATATTTACATATAGGGACATATAACCAGTGACTTTAACATTTAGGTACACTATGAAAAACTACAGGGATCGGCCTCTGATCCAACCGAATTTACAACCCCACCCTGTGAACCAGATCAACCAATGCCACCTAAACTAGTAATGCGGACAAAAAATTCATTACATTTGCGTTGGACGAATCCGTCCTCAAATGGATCCCCCATTCAACACTACATATTGGAATATGACGAAGGCAAAACTAATTTTACATCAGCTGGCCGATCAGCACGCCAAAATTCTGGAAATGAAGGGCTAAATTTTGTTGAAGCCACGAAAACCAAAGGCAAACACTATACTTTAACAAAACTACAGCCTTCCACCCTATACTATTTCCGTCTGGCAGCTGTTAACGACGTGGGAGCTTCTTTGTTTTCCAGCGTTTGCTCATTTAGCACATCTTGCAATCCGCCGTCTGCGCCGAAGCCTCCAAAACTACAAAGCAGTACCTCTACTTCTATTCGAATTTGGTGGGAACGACGACAACAGGATGATGATTATGTATTGCAAATATTTGATCGGGAGTCTGGCCACGGCTATCTTAACGCTTACAATGGTCCCGATTGCACACATGAATGCAATCAACTGCGACGTGCCACATCTTACCAATTTCGATTGCGTGCTGAAAATGAAGCTGGCAGCTCTCCTTGGTCTAATGAGGTCAGTTTTCAAACATCTCCTGAAAAACCAGGAAAACCGGGCAAACCACACGTGAAAGGAAAAATACATGGAACACATTTTCGCGCGCGATGGGACCCACCTGCAGATACAGGAGGCGCTGAAATACTTCGCTATTTTCTCGAAATCACATCTGGTTCCAAATTTGAACGCGTTTATAGTGGTGCCGATACGGAAACTACTTGCGATCGTCTACAACCAGGTACAGCTTACCAATTGCGAACTTCGTGTGAAGGTCCAGCAGGTCTCAGTCCTTATTCCGATATAGCGCACATAACATCAGAAGCAGTAGTACCAGCTGCACCGCCGCCACCTTATTACGACAATCCGCCCGGTCCATTCGCGGCAGTTTTAAGACTGGATAAACCAGATTATAATGGCGGCTCGCAGGTGCTAGAATTTGAGGTCCAGATGAGGCGTCCATTGGACGGACAATTCGACATTGGAAATAAAACCAACGACCATTCCATTGTGTACCGCGGACGGGATACATATTGTGTGGTCAAAGATTTGCAACCCGGTTGTTCTTACGAAGTGCAAGTGCGCGCAATCAATCGCATTGGTGCAGGTGCCTGGTCATCATGGTTCCGATTCTCAGCAGCAGCAGCACCTCCAAATGCTCCTACCGATTTGAAAGTTTTGGTCAAATCAGCAACACATTTACTTGTGAACTGGCAAGAACCAACCTGTAATGGTGCACCGATCGTTGAATATCGCCTAGAAAGTGCAAGTGTTCAAAATGATTTTAACTCCGAGTTGGAGAAGTCATCAATACAAATGCCGGCATTCCAAACATGCTATCAGGGTGCTCAAACCAGCGTCGAATTACGCAATTTATTACCGTTTACCATGTATTACTTCCGTGTAAATGCCAGCAACGCGGCTGGAGTAAGCAAATGGACAACAAACATTAACGAACGAACACCAGCCGCCGTTCCTGCTGCACCCCACATCAAAGACTGCGAATTTACCGCCACGGAAGTGTCACTTAACTGGACGGAACCTGAATGCAATGGCGCTCCCATTACTGCATATACTATTGAGTATTCTGAGAAGTCAATTACAACGACAGACACAAACACGGTTTATACAGTTACTGGGCTTTTGCCTGAGACGACCTACAAATTCCGCTTGCAGGCCATAAACAAAATTGGCCCAGGGCCATTTTCCGCATATGCCAAACTCACAACGTTGCCTTCGCCTCCTACTCCACCTGCTCTAGAATGTACTGGCGTTGGGCATAACTTTATTAAGTTAAAATGGGGGGACGGCAAGAACCTGGACTTCGTAAAATACTATGTTGAAATGTTTGTACAACGTGCGAAAGAGTTTCAAATCGTTTACTCTGGTACAAACAGTATGTGCAAAGTGAACAAGTTGCAAGAGCGTACCGCCTATACTTTCCGGATATACGCAAGTACTGACCGCGCCGGGATAGGAGACTACTCGCATGAATATATATTTAGTACGACTCCCACCTTACCGAATAGCATTAAAGCGCCCCGAGTGGCCATGGAAGGAGCTGCTGCTTGCTTGCTAACACACGGCGCTGGTGGTGCTGCCGGTTTTATTCCATCCGGAATGCTGCCTGAAACGCCTACTAGTTTCATAGCCGGCTTGGGAAACCTTTCTTTAGGCGTACCACTCACTCTCGAATGGCAAAATTCAAAAAATACCTTCAGCGATCGGATTGAGTATGTATTACAATATGCAATTGGCAAAGATGGTGACTATAGGCGGGTGAGTTATAATAAACATACGTAAGTAGCTACTTACATACATACTTATAACTATAAATATAATATGCACCAATGCTAAAGGCCCTAAATTATTATTGTTCTTTATGTTAAGGAAACTTTGCTTTCAGGGTCAATAAATAAAATAAAATTGTTTGTTAAATCTCAATTTTAGATGCATTTGAGAATCAGTCCTTTTCTCAAATCTCCAACGATAGTTCTCAAATGCATCTCAAATAACCGTTAGGCACTTTTTTAATATGGAATTTTCCTGAACAGGTCTATTCTGCGCTGGTAATAAAAAGTTTGTAACCGGTAAATTAAGTTCCAGTCAATTTTTAAACCCTTTTCGCATTATGTGTACTTTTGTAACCGGTAAATTTTGTTACCATCTCATAAGCTGGTAACAAAGTATTGCCCCGTGAAATATGCAATGCCAGAATTTGCACAATTCTTCATAGCTGAATTGGTGAATGTTTTAAATGCATTACCAACGTACCTAGAATCGCGGTGACAAGAGCTGGTAACATTTTTTGGTAATAAAATTTTCCGGTTACAAAGTTTTCGGTAACGTGCAGAATAGTTCTCTTATTTTCAAATAGAGAAATGTTGAATTCTCAACTTTTTCTCAAACGTGAGAGGAGCGGAACGAAATGAAATCCAGTTACTCTCATTGAAATATTTGTATAGTGTTGCCAAAGATACATGTAAGAGAAACACAGTTTTTATAAGATTGGAATTTTTATTTATGCAGTTTAACAGTTTATTTAGTAGCTTATTTATTCGTAGAAATGGTATAGAATTCTTAAAAATCAATATTTTATCAATAAAAAATAGGGATGTACATTTTTTCGATACAGAACAATCGTAGGGGGTGAGTGCATTAAAATTCCGACTTTACTCTTTTTGGGCCACCCTAATGTATGTACATACTCTGCTTGCAACAGTAAAAGTTTTGTTGCTTACCTCTGCCTATTTACGGCTTAGGTATTCATTCTTTGAAAACATCGCGACTGCTTTTTTGGTATGGGATTTTGCACAAGAAGGCAGAATTTCATGGAATTTTTTCTTTATTTTTATTTTATTTTTTTAATAAAGCATTGTATATGCTTTCACTCAAATGGGTTAACATGAAAGTCAATCCTTCTTCTTATTTGGAAATACATCCGTTTGTCGGATTGAGCCGAGACCAAAAAGCTTCTCCAATTGCTTCTCTCCTGTGCGAATCTGCGCCAGTTGGTTACCCCGAGCGCAGACAGGTCTTTCTGCACTTGGTCCTTCCAAAAGTCAATAAAATTACAAATTTGTGATAACAAATTGTCAAGTCAGAGTACTGAAATAGACACCCCTATTGCGAGTGTCGACTAGTAGTAGATAAATGACACTTATTCGATTATCGCTTTTCCATGGTATTGTGAATAGTTTTTTTATTGCTTACAACTGTTCGTTTGTAGAAGGATGAGCGGCTATAAACTATTCACACGCACTTATTGAAAGAAAACGACTTTAAAAATACCACGGATAATCGATAATCGACTAACAGTCGTTTATCTACTACTACTCGACACTAGCAACAAGGGTGAGAATGTCATTGCTATCTGATACCATTTATATTTGGTGTATTCGCGCATGCTTCCAGCAGAAAACTCTCGACAGCGAAATTCTAATGAATTTTTAGATGCATTCTCGTATTGATGGTTTTTGATAGTTATCAGGTTTTGCTGTTCGCGTACACAAAAATACAGCAAAGTAGGGGAAACTAAGATACCAAACTGACATTTCATTTTGATAAGAAGCTGCTAGTTTCTTCTTGTTTTGCGTAAGTGTTCTTTTGCAAACATTTCTGTCCTTGAGAGACAGATAAAAATTCGTTTCGTCGTTTAAAGTACAAAACCACGTATCGTCATTCTGACTGACATTTGCTGCCGAAAATTGGATTTGCTCACAAGCTTTTGGCTCAATCCTCATCCATTCGTCCCAAAATATACTAGCCAGAAATGCGATTGCTTTATAAAAAAGAGAACCATTTTGAAATATGAGTGTTTTTACTCTCGAGAAAATAATTTATGCAACCTCACATACGCGGTTTAAACGACGATTTGAATTGTGCTCTTGAGAGTTTTCTCCTGGAAGAATACGCGAATACACATTTTATTTGTTCTCTCTCAAGGAGAGAAATGTTTTCAAAAGTTGGCGACCGCAAAACTAGCAAAAAGTTGAAGGTACAGCTGATCGAAATTTTGTTTACATACAAAAGCATAAGATATGAAAAGAATGCAAATTAAAAGTTTGAGTAAGCCAATTCGTTAAGCAAACATACATATGTAAGTAAATTAGGATTTTTGCTCTCTTCCGAAACATTTGTAGTTCTAATAAGTTATTTTAAACTTAAAAATCTTAAAAAAAAAATCATTATTTGCATAAGTTGCACACAGATGATTTTATAGCGTGTCAGACTTGGCAATATTACCAACTTTTCCACGCAATTCGTTCTGAAATTGAGAAAGAGAAATTTTATTTCCACGTGTGAACAGCCAGAAAACCGCAAGGTGGGATTATACGAGGTTTAGTAATTGGAGCGAGAAATTAGATTTGACACTATCTTATTTGAAAATTTACCTTTAAGAATTTAAATAAGATAGCCGAGTGTCAGGAAAATAAAGCGATAAAGATGTTTTATTACTTCGCCTGTTTATAATTTCACCATGGAAAGACCTTTCTGTCACCTTTCGAAAATCAGTTTCAGAAATTACAGTTGCAATGTGTGCCTACAACTAAAAGCGAGCAAATCGATTTCGGAAATATATTTCAACTTGCTCGTGCTGCATTAGCAATCTGCAGTTCGCCGTTCCCCTTTTTGAAAGACATTTTATATGCAAGATGTGGCTGCACATGCAACTGCTTTCTGAAATTTTTCAATTTGACAGCCTTTATTGCATTGCCACGTCTGACACGCTTTTTTGATCAGCTGCCTCTTGCTGGCAAATTGCTGCTGTCAAAAATTTTTCCTGCAGAAACTGGCAGCCTCTCATCAAAATAAAATGTGTGTTTGGCCTCTCAATTTCCCCTACTTTGCTGGATTTTTGTGTACGCGAATAGCAAAACCGCGAATAAACCTATTAGTTGCGTTCCCTAACTCGCAAGAAGTTGGAAGAGTTTACCGGATTTTACCAGAAAGCGTTTCCGTACTCGCTTCTCTGGCAAACCGCTGAAACACAATGCCTACGAACGGCTGCGAATGTTCGCTGTAAAAACGAAAACACACTGCTGTATATGAGAACGCACACAACCAAAGCAACAACAACAACAACGACGTTCGTCCGACGACTGTTCGCAACGATAGACTTAAGAGCGAAATACACAACACAAGCGGCTTAACAAACCAAGCGAAATTTCCCTTTGCTTCAAGCCATTTGTGCTGTCTATAGGGTGTTTGAAGGTTTGACAAACCGTTTGAGGGAAATTTGAGCAAAAATCAAATTTTTTTGATTTTCTGGCCGCCATGTTGACGTTTGATCAAACCGCTTGCGATGTGGATGGTAAAATCGCCTCAATTGCAACTGAAATTTCACCAAGTGAAGACGTAAGGGAGAATAATGGTAGAAAACTAAAATGTTTTACATTGTTAACCGAAAGAAAACTAAAATTCTGTGCTTGAACGACTCATGTTTGCATGGTCTATGGCAAAATGGGAAAAGTATGTTTGACAAGCCGCTTGTGTGGTGTATTTCGCTCTTTATTTCTATCGTCGTCGCTGGCGGCAAAATATGAACCATTGTGGCCATATGGTAAATGTAGGTATTTATTTTAAATAACAAAACTTATTTTATTTTCTGTTGTACACAATTTGAGAAAAGTTTGAATAATAAAAATTTTCTATTTGATTGACGAACCACAAAAAATCACATAAATCTAAAATTTCCAAAATTACAAAGTTGAAATGAACACAGTACAATAAAAGGTAATAACACAAATACAGACCCTACAATACTCCCCCTTCTAGAGAATTAATGTTATATAAATTAAAAGTAACTCGTTTCTTATTTGATGTTGTGTTATTCATTGTATTAGTGTTTGTTTCTGGTATTAGTTCTGTTTCAATGATTGCTGGTTTTAGTCTGTCTATCGGAATTGTTTTAACCTCATTATCTACTTCAAGTTTGAAATATTTTTTGTTTTTTTCAACAACCTTATAAGGTCCTTCGTATGGTTGTTGCAATGATCTTTTATTAATAACACGCATAAAAACAAATTTACAAGTCTCCAAATCCTTTGGTATATATACACCAGTATCAGAATTTTGATTATGCCTTAAATTTGATTTAACATTTTTAAAATGTTCCCGTAAATTACCTAAAACCTCAATTGGGGAAAATTTTTCTTCAGATGGAACAACAAGTTCACCGGGTAGGCGTAAATTTTGCCCAAAAACCATCTCAGATGATGTGGCTGAAATACTTTCTTTATACATCGATCGTAAACCAAGAAGTATTATCGGCAGCTCATCATACCAATTGTTGATTCCATTTCTAGCCATTATCGTAGCTTTTAACTGCCTGTGAAACCGTTCTACCATACCATTCCCTTGAGGATGATATGCAGAAGTTGTAACGTGATGACTACCAAGCAATTTTGTTAGTTCCGAAAACAATTTTGACATAAACTGAGTACCCTGATCTGTAGTGATTTTTAACGGTACCCCAAAACGTGAAACATATTCTCTAAAAAATTTATTTGCAACCACTGCCGCTGAAATGTCCTTTAATGCATATGCCTCGGGCCAACGCGTGAACCTGTCAATTATTGTAAAAATGTAACGATGTCCTTTCGATACAGGAAGAGGTCCAACAATATCTAAATGAATATGATCAAATCTACTTTTGGGAATCGGAATTTTAATTACTGGAGATTTTGTGTGACGATTAACCTTCGATTTTTGACAATTTATACATTCTTTTGACCAAATATTAATTTCTTTGTGCATTTTTGGCCAATAGTACTTTT